TTACTTAAAAGAGTTGATATCTCCTAGGCAGCAAAGTTTTAAAAATGTACGTCTTGATAATGATTATTTTTACCTTAGTTTTCCGCCCTCTCCTAACTATGTAAACACAGAGAAAGCTTTTAGTCACTGTGCAGTTAAAGTATTTAATTCCTTGCCATACGACATAAGATCAGCTGAGTCAGTTACATCTTTCAAGACCAAACTTAAAACATACTTCTTTTCTCTAGCATTTGATTGATTTTGCATTTACATAGGTAAAATGAACTTGTCATGTCTAATTTTCAATTAAACTAAGCTCAGTTAATGTAAGAGCCGCTTTAGAAAGCACTGGAGTTTATCTCCAGGATTAAATTATATCGAGTTATATGATTTAGCTATAAGGCGGTTTATAAATGTTGTATTTATTATTATAAAGGGTCTCAATAAGAGGTCTCGACTGCCTAGGCGTCAAACCTTGGCAGTCTGTAGTTTTCCTCTGGCCCGGGATCAGCTGACCCTAGGGACCAGAGGGTAAAGGTGTAGAGACTATGTGGGGGGGGGGGGGGCCAAGTGGATATTTGTAGATATTTGGATAATGTCATCCACTTTTTTCGTGAATTATCGGGGGGGGGGGGGGGGGGGGGGCCAATGGCATAAATGGAGAAAATGGAGAATTACTCATAGGTTTTTCCATTTTCTCCATAGAAATAGTCTCCATTTTATGCCATTTTATGCCATTTTATGCCATTGAAAACCTGAAAAATTTAGAATTTCGAGAAAAATTATTTAAAAAAAAGATATTTTCGGCCAATAATGAACAGAGTATCATGAAACATGGAGAAAAGTGGTTTTCAGAAAAACTTTGAAAAATTCTGACTTAGAAAATGTTCAGTCCGAGTCATTTTCGATACGTACCTCCCGTATCGAGAGCTCCCGATTCCGAGCTCGTGTTGCAAAGGGGAGGCCTGCCTTCCGAGATCGCATTACCTCGAGTCCAAAATTGTGTATCGAGGGGAAGGTGTGGACTTCGAAAAACCGAAAAAATATTTTCGGCCAATAATGAACAGAGTATCATGAAACATGGAGAAAAGTGGTTTTCAGAAAAACTTTGAAAAATGTTGACTTAGAAAATGTTCGGTCCGAGTCATTTTCGATACGTACCTCCCGTATCGAGAGCTCCCGATTCCGAGCTCGTGTTGCAAAGGGGAGGCCTGCCTTCTGAGATCGCATTACTTCGAGTCCAAAATTGTGGAAGGTGTGGACTTCGAAAAACCGAAAAAATATTTTCGGCAAATAATGAATTATAGAGTAGCATGAAACGTGGAGAAAAGTGTTTTTCAGAAAAACTTTGAAAAATTTTGACTTAGAAAATTACCTCTCGGTACACAATTTTGGACTCGAGGCTTCCCCCTGGTAATGCGATCTCGGAAGGCAGGCCTCCCCTTTGCAACACGAGCTCGGAATCGGGAGCTCTCGATACGAGAGGTACGTATCGAGAATGACTCGGGCCGAAAATTTTCTAAGTCAAAATTTTTCAAAGTTTTTCTAAAAAACACTTTTCTCCACGTTTCATGCTACCCTCTTCATTATAAGCCGAAAATATTTTTTTGGTTTTTCGGTTTATCGAAGTCTGCACCTACCCCTCGATACACAAATTTGGACTCGAGGCTTTCCCCTGGTAATGCGATCTCGGAAGGCAGGCCTCCCCTTTGCAGTGCGAGCTTGTTTCGACTGTCGAGGATGTAGGTCTCACTTCTCAGTGCCTATTACTCTCCCCTATTACTCACTCCTGCTGTAGCCTGTAGAAATAACTTTACACTAGGCTTGAGTAATTATGAGTTTGCCTGAAGTGTGCCTCTACTAACCTAGTATAAGCATCTAGTAGCCTACTATGAGCTTTCATAAGCTTGTTACGCCCTAGTAAGCGTAAATAAACATGTTAGGATGTCCAATTTAGGTGTTAAATGGTGTTAAAGATGAAATTTCGAAGACAAAATTCATGGCATAAAATGGAGAAAATGGAGAATTACTCATGGGTTTTTCCATTTTCTCCATAGAAAAAGTCTCCATTTTATGCCATTTTATGCCATTTTATGCCATTCTATGCCATTTTATGCCATTGCCCCCCCCCCCCGAATTATCCATTACAATAATCTACAAATATCTACATTTATCTACAAAAAATGTATATCTCAAATATGTGCCCAGAAATTCTACTGAATTTTTGGAGATAAATGTATAAATTTGTAGAATTTGTAGAATTTTCGTGAATTATCCATTGACAATAATCTACAAATATCTACATTTATCTACAAAAAATGTAATCTCAAATATGTGCCCAGGAATTCTACTGAATTTTTGGAGATAAATGTATAAATTTGTAGAATGTCATCCACTTTTTTCGTGGATTATCCATTCTACATTAATCTACAAATATCTACAAATATCCACTTGGCTCCCCCCCTATGTGTATCTACAAATCTTTCGAGGTTGTTTTTACAAGAGACAGGGCTTGCTACGCAAGGGAAGAAAACCGGGAGAAACAATCACAAAATATACAAATAAATATTATAAAACCTAGCAAAAAGAAATTCAAACAATCCTACACTACTACAAATGTTTATTACATACTACAGTGTAATACACGATATTACCAATATGATACCTTTCACGGACAATCTTGCACTTGCATTGAATAACAGGTCCAGGACTGATATAATATATTTTGATTTTGCGAAAGCCTTTGATAGCGTTTCGCATGACCTCATTTTAAGTAAATTAAAGAATATTTTTAATGTCGATGGACTAATGCTTAAATTTATTAAGTCCTACCTTGAGGGGCGACAACAACAAGTAGTGATAGGAGGCCAAACGTCTTCTTCTCTACCAGTTCGGTCTGGTGTCCCTCAAGGTTCTATACTTGGCCCTTTATTGTTTGTAATATTTATAAATGACATGTTCTCCTGTGTCTCTGAAGGCACCAATATCGCCCTTTATGCAGATGACACTAAAATTTGGAGGGAGATCCTTGGTTACCCTGACCATCACATAATCCAAAATGACATCAACAGATTATATGATTGGTCAGTGAGAAATCGAATGAAGTTCCACCCACAAAAGTGCAAAGCCCTCTCTGTGTCCCTGCAAAGAAACGTGCTGGATAACTTGCCATTCAATACCTTCTTTTATAAACTTTCTGGAAGTGATATTGACTTTGTGCCCTCTCAGTCAGATTTAGGAGTCGCAATAAACTCCAGGTTTAATTGGGGTGCACAATGTAAAGCGCTTGTTTCCAAAGCTACCTCTAGACTTGGACTACTTAAGAGAACATGTCATTTCACTACTGATAAAAGGCAGAAAAGATCGTTCTATTTAGCGTTAATTAGGTCTATATTTGAACATTGTTCTGTCATATGGTCCCCTCAATCTGCAACTCATCTTCAACAGTTTGTTGCTATCCAAAAGAGGGCTATTAAATGGATCAATGGTGAACCTTACTCCAGTTATAATGACGATAAACTTGCTACAGAGCAAAAGAAACTAAATATTCTCCCTGTTAAACAGAAGTTTATTTATAACGATCTTATGACCTTCTATAAAATAGTGAATAGCATAATTCCAGTTTCGCTCCCTACATATATAGTCCTATGCCGTCCAGAGGGCACCCGATACACTAGGCACAATGCTCAAATAATTGATATGTCGGATACCTCAACTTACATGAGTACCACTGTGCCCTGCTCGGATGCCTTCCGAAATAGCTTTTTTCATAGATCTATGCTGAAATGGAATAGTCTACCAGTATGTATCCGGCAGTCAGAGCGGATTTCTACTTTTAAGGCCAAACTGATCAAGTACCTCTGGGCTGCCGATACAGTCTGGCCAGATTAGCTCATCAGTCTTATGAGTCTCAGAAATTTGTTTTTGTTGGTTACAATTCTGTCCGTCCAATTTCCTATCTGCTTGTCCTTTTCTTTTTTTCTTTATCAGTTGTGACGGAATTGTAATGAACAAAATCCTTATAATTATTTATGATATGTTTGATTTCTTGTTAATGTTTGTCATTCAAATTTGGTAGACGGCCCCAACGTTAATGTGGCTCTTGCTATGTGTTGGTTCAGCCGAATTAATTATTATATAATCAAGTTTATTTTTCTCGTTAGTTGTCATCCGGCCAAACATTAAGCAACTTATATTGCAGTACCATTTATCATTTAGTATATCAAAATATGTCATTGTAATTTTGCATGGCTGAAATGTAACGCTTGATTTATATATATAATGATTAATTGAATTTTCAAATAAAAAAAAAAAAAAATAAATAAATGCTGTATAATCAAGAAACAGGGCTTGCAGGGCAAGGGACGGAACACAGGAACTGGTTACAGAGTGTATAAAACAGTGATTCAGCAAGTACCCATTGGGTATTGCTGAATCTGACCCACAAAATACCACAATCAATACAAGAATATACAATATAGCAAACATCGTGTTTATACAAGAATCAGGGCATGCAGAGCAAGAGAAGAAAAATAAGAGAAAAACTCCAACACATGTATACCCCTTAGTCCAGTAAATAACAATAATTACTTGTACTCAAAACTGTATAATATAAAATACATTTAACAAATACACAGTCTACCCAATATACGAGTTAAAAATTGTATAAACAAGAGACAGGGCTTGCATAGCAAGGGAAGAGATATAAGAGGACCAGGTAAAAAGTGTTTATTACAGTATCCAGTGAAAAATAAACTAAATATAGAGTATCTACAGTGTAATATACTCTCAATAATATCATATATGTCTAAGACCATCCTGAGAATTCTGGCTGATCCAAGCAAAGCTGTCTTCTGGAGATTAGAGATGCTCAGATTGCAGTGGACTGCGTTGAGGTGTTTACGAAAGTTAATGGTGATAGTTCCTAATGCGCCTATCACCACAGGGACGATTGTGACCTTTCGTAAATTCCAGTTCTTCTTAATTTCTCTTTTTAGGTCTTGATATTTCAGTATCTTTTCTTATTCTCTATCCAGGATCCGGGTATCTCCTGGGACTGCAACGTCAATGATGGTTGCTGCGTTGGTTACCTTGTCTACCAGGAGGAGATCCGGTCTGCAGTGTTCGATAACGTGGTCCGACTGGACATGGAAGTCCCACAATATCTTGACTTTTTCGTTCTCCAGCACCTTCTCTGCCCGGTGTTCGTACCACCTTTTACTGCGTGGGAAGCCGTATTCCTTGCACAGACTCCAGTGCAATGCGGCAGCTACTTTGTCATGCCGACACTTATATTCTGTATGTGAAAGTTTTGGGCACCCATTCAGTATGTGGTCTATTGTCTCGTAATGATTTCTGCAGAGTCTGCAGAGGGGAGAAGAGCCAGGTGTTTTGTCAATCCTGTGCTTCACATAATTAGTCCTGAGTGCTTGGTCTTGGGCTGCTATCAACAATCCTTCTGTCTCCTTCTTCAAGTCTTGTTGAGTGAGCCAGTTCCAAGAGGTTAACGGGTCCGCTATACCCATCATCTGCCTTGGGAACTGTCCGTGCATCACTTTAGCAGTCCACTTCTCCTTGCGGATTTCCTCGCGTTGTGTTCGGTCGATATCTTTCTCTATCTCTTCACCCAAGAGTATCTTGTCTTTGACAAAGTAGTCCTTCAGAGCAATAAGTTCTGGGTCTCTACTTCTCACCACATAAGTGGTGAGTGCATTCTCCTCTCTCTTTACGACTTCCTCTATACTATGTAGCCCACGGCCACCCAGTTGACGGCTTACGTATAACCGATCAACATCTCCTTGGGGGTGGTGAGCTCCATTTATCCTCATCAGTTTCCTGGTCTTGACATCTAAGGCTTTGGTCTCTCCAGCATTCCATGAGAGAATTCCAGCTCCATATCTTATCACAGGTACAGCCCAGGTGTTAATTGCTTGTATACTATTCCTGCCATGAAGCTGGGATTTTAAAACCTTTTTAACTCTTCTGATATACTCTTTTGTAACCAGTGCTTTCATCTCTTTGTGTAGTATATCATTGGCTTCTAGTATTCCCAGATACTTATAGCCCTCGTCCTCCAACTCATGGATCTGTTCACCTGTGGGTAGGGAGATGCCTTCGAAAACGGCTCTTGCTCCCTTCTTCACCTTCACCACGGCACATTTCTCTAGCCCAAATTCCATTTTTATGTCACTGCTGAACTCTGCTGTGGTATTAACCAGTGTTTGCATTTCGTCTTCACTCTCGGCATACAACTTGAGGTCGTCCATGTATAGCCTATGCGACACTTTTGGTCCATCTTTTCTGTCCAGAGAATATCCTATATCATGCTTATTCAAAAGAATGGACAGGGGTATAAGACTAATGATAAAGTGAATAGGTGATACTGAGTCTCCTTGGAATAGACCTCTATTAATTTTAATTCTCCCAAGGGAAACTTTACCAAGCATCAGGTTAACATACGATTGTTTGAAGGAGGCTTCAAACAGGTCTATGATGGATGAAGAGATACCACACATGGTCAAACAAGACAGAATCCAGGAGTGTGGGACGCTATCATACGCCTTCTTGTAGTCTATAAACGTCATCTTCAGGTTCCGCTTCCTTCGTTTACAGTTCTTCAGAATGAGTTTGTCTATCATTAACTGTTCTTTACATCCTCTGCTCTTCTTCTTGCACCCTTTCTGCTCAGTGGGGAGGAGTTTTTGCTGGTCTAAATGGTTGTATATGGAATCTGAGATTAGACCAGTGAACAGTTTCCACATAGCTGATAAGCATGTGTAATAGGTCTGAAATTGCATGGGATGGGTCCTTTGGAGTGGTCCTTTATGAGCAGGTACGTGCGTCCCAATGTCATCCAGTCTGGGATATCAGCGTTGGTTAAGCAATTCATAAGTTGATCTGCAATCCTATTGTGGAGTTCTTTAAAGTGCTTTATCCAATAAGCATGCAGTCCGTCTGTACCAGGAGAGGACCAATTGGTCATTTTCTTCACTCTATCTGCAACCAGGGTGTTAGTTATAACGAACTGTCGCTGTTCATCTGCTGAGGCTAGTGCTGTTCTGACATCCGGTAACCATTCAGCATCACTGTTATGTTCAACCGGCTGCTCCCATATGTTCTTCCAGAACTTCAAACAAGAATCCTTGTCAGCCTCAGGGTGGGAGATATCCTGTTCTTCAGGGTTTGTTTGAAGGTTTCTGTAGAACTGCCTCTGGTTGTTTCCAAACAACTTGTTCTGGTGGTATCGTTCGCATCTTTTATTAAATCTCTTTATCTTAGCTGCTTTTGCACGAAGACGTTGCTTGAGCTCCTCAATGATGCATGATATACCCTTTTTCTTCAACAGGGGGTGACGTCTGTTGAGCCCTTCTAGTATTTTTTGTTTAAGGGTAATACCTTTCTTCTTCTCCTCAAGATAAGAGATGTCTTTCCTCACCTGGGTAATCTTATCTTCGATTCTTCTTATCCATAGCGGAGTTTTCCGCTTCTCTGCATTCTTATTTGCAGGTTTTTCATGAAGTCTTTCGCTGACTAAATGTGCTCCTGCAAGCAATAAAGTGTTGGTTTCAGTGATTGAAGAAGTAGGAATCTCTGCTATACATGAGTTGATGAGAGATGTTTCCTCCATAAGCTTCTTTCTGTTCACATGTCTCAGGGGCTTGGTTTCTATCACTGAAGGGTCTTCTAAGAGGGTTTTTAGCCGCTCAATGATTGCCTCCTTGTCAAAATCAGGTACCGTTGCGGTGGGGGTGAGTTCTTCGGCGGCAACAGTTGGGATAGTTTCATCCCTCAACGTCCTGATTGCTTGGGAGACTGTGGGTAAAGCTTGAGTTGTCGTTGTTGGAGCCTCTTCCACTACGCTAGGTGGAAGAGTACCTCGAATCTCCAGTAGTTCTATGTCTGAGAGGAGATTATTATTTCTGATTGACCTTGCTTGGTCTGCCAATCTTTGTTCTGTACAAGTGAAGAGTCCGGCATCATCCCACAGTGACCGGAGTCTCCTTCTGTAACCAGAGCGGGATGGTTGGCTCTGGTAATACAGCGTCATGAGCTGTATGTTGTCCTCCTTGCTCCACGTGTGACGAGTGGAAGTCTCAGTGCGAGCCTTCCTCTCACGGCGAGCTGGAGGGGCGATGTTAGGTTGTTGATCCTGCTCTGATCTGACCCATTAGTAGGGAGAGTAGGAGAGTTTGAAAAATTTGAGAGAGAATTCATATCATAACTGGGGGACTTGAAATACCCCCTAGAGAGTTGGCAGGGAAAACAGAGCACTGAGCGTTGCCCCGCGTCGCCCAGCTCCCCAGGTAGCTACCTCCTGGGTAGTAGACCCGTTAGTAACCATTTAACCCATGGCCACACATCCTTTTGTCACGAGTCCACAACTTAAGATTGGGGGACATCTGCGGGTCAGTCCATGCCCGGAAAGAAAACCACTAGGTGTCAATTGCACCTAGTCAAGAAACCAAGAGCTAGAGCAGAAGGATAAAAGATTTTCACCAACGAGAGGCAAGAAAGGGAATTAACCGGGGGACAAGTAAAAACAAAACAATGAAATATAATATACAATGAAATATAATAATATGATTACAATGTTATAATTATTCGAGTGTGCTGGGTATGGTAACATTATAGAAAGTAGTATTTCCAAAGGAATGATATTCTTTCAGTACCAGCAGTCTGTGCTGCTATGATATCGAATAAAAATCAGGAGATATATTATCTTAAAATCCTAAAATACTGCTGTCTCAGTTACAGATATTTTTCTTGGTTTTTCCATTTTGTGCTTTTTTTTTCTTTTTTTCTTTTTAACTTTTTTTTGTAATTTTCTTTTCTTTTTCCCTCCTAAACATGAATATTTAGCAAGTACAAAATCTCATGATAGCATTAAGTGATGTTGAGAAGGGACATAAGAGCCTGAGGTTCTGGTGGTCTACAGGTGTTTCACCAGCTGTTTGGTCAAGTTCTAGCCCGTTACTTGGACTAGTAACGGGGGAACTAACAGTGTTAATAGTTTAAACTTTGTGCTATAACTGAACCTCAGGAAGAAGACATCTGGCAATGCCAGGGAGTGAGTAGCTCTAGCCGGCAGCCATCCAATGGACTGCTGCCGTTACCGACCCCGGGGGTGCTGACCACGAGTATCAGCCTCGGACCCACTACTCACTAGCTCTGGTGTTCTGAGCGGGGGCCTTATTATTATTATTATTATACATTGTATACATAGCTGGCGGTTCATCCGCCCTGCGGACCACATAAAGGCTAGCTTATATAACATCGAGCCGAAAGTAACAGTACTTTCTTGACGAAAGTCAAATACAAGGAAATACTTTGGAAAAACCATAGTATATAGCTGACTTTGGCAAGGTAGTGTTGGTTATGTGCCTAACCTGGTGATTGGTGAACACAGTGGATATCCTTGCTGTACGGCTAGTTAAACAATAAATTGAAACTGTGGGGCTCCGTGCAGACCAACCTACCTGGGGCTAAAGCTCTAATATACAAAACCAATACATGGATTGGGTACCATGAATAGCATAATGAATAGAACAGTTCAAATTATTCAATTACCCAGCTACAACCACAAGTGACACCGATACTACAAATATTTATTGTTTGAAAAACCTACACTTAAGGGGGGGTTCACCCTGATTTTTTTGTGAAACTTGGTTTCAAGATAGTAGTTGACCAACAAACTAGAACCAGTGACCGAACTTTTGAGGGGGTCCCCGATTCCAACCGCCAAACGGTGCCCGCGGGGCAGCCACGCCCATATTTGGTTCAAATTAGGCCCAATTTAGCCAAATACCCTGAACATGCCCAAAACCCAGACTTAATGTGCTCTACTTGTAGCTAGTGGTCCCCTTGGCCTTCACAAGTATATGCATTTTCATCAAGATTGGGCAAAAAATGACTGAGTTATGAGCCAAAAACCATATGACCATATTTGGGCATATGCACCAAATTTGATCGATTTTGGCCCATAAATTGGTCAAATATCAATATTTTTGAATGAAACCAACTTTATATGAAAGGTGAGCTTATACTACACATTCTCTGTGATTATCAGCTCAGTATCTACCTAACTGTGGATTCTGTGTTCAAATAATCACAAAAAATGAACAAAATCGTCCATATTATCTCAGTATGCGATATTTGCAAAACTGATTTCGCTCAAAACAATAGAACTCAATAGGGTTTCAATATTTTTACATGAAATTTTCAGAATCAACGTAGAATCGCATTTCGACCTTATCTCTTGTATTGAAATTTTGAGTTAGGCCTTTAAAACAATTTGGCGGCCAAATTCTGAAAAATGCCTGGCAAATTTTGGAATTTGGCCGCCAAATTTTTTTAAAGATAAGGTCGAAATGCGATTCTACGTTGATTCTGAAAATTTCATGTAAAAATATTGAAACCCTATTGAGTTCTATTGTTTTGAGCAAAATCAGTTTTGCAAATATTGCGAACTGAGATATGGACGATTTTGTTCTTTCTTTGTGATTATTTGAACACAGAATCCACAGTTAGGTAGATACTGAGCTGATAATCATAGAGAATGTGTAGTATAAACTTACCTTTCATATAAAGTTGGTTTCATTCAAAAATATTGATATTTGACCAATTTATGGACCAAAATCGATCAAATTTGGTGCGTATGCCCAAATATGGTCATATGGTTTTTGGCTCATAACTCAGTCATTTTTTGCCCAATCTTGATGAAAATTCATATACTTATTCAGGGGACCACTAGCTACAAGTAGAGCACATTAAATCTGGGTTTTGGGCATGTTCAGGGTATTTGGCTAAATTGGGCCTAATTTGAACCAAATATGGGCGTGGCTGCCCCGCGGGCACCGTTTGGTGGTTGGGGTCGGGGACCCCCTCAAAAGTTCGGTCACCGGTTCTAGTTTGTTGGTCAACTGCTATCTCGAAACCAAGTTTCACAAAAAAATCAGGGTGAACCCCGGCCCCCCCCCCCCCCCCCCCCCCCCTTAATAGATTTGTGGTATTCTGATGTTATTATATTAATGCAGGGTTCATGTCTTAATGTATCTGTTCAAACTCAATACGTTTGTGAACAATGACAAAGCCAATTATTCTTGAAAGCTGTTTTGACAAGCATGAGAAGCAGCGAACCTATGATCGCCTGGTTTCTAGTAAGTAAATCGATTAATTGAGAACTTTTTGATTAGGCCAAGGATTAACTTAAATATCCGATTGGAAAACATCTATCCCTTAAAATGGAATTCAACATGTTATTTGTAAGTCAGTTTATTTATTTATGCGTTTTAAATCACAATCATTATTCTACAGGGGCAGAAAAGATTCGCGGTGTCAGCAAAGAAGTAAAGATAAAGACGCTTGAGAATTATTGGCCCTATCCACCCCATTCTGAAAAGACACACATTGATAAGCCAGATGAAACTGTCAAGGCCCTTCTCACTTGCAATAATTCTTTTTGGCATTCTAAAGTTCGAAGCGTACAAGAGGTAATCATGGAATAAATTATTGATAAAATTCTTTAAAAATTCTTAAATACAAATTTGAGCATAAACTAAGTTGATTTATGATGATAAAATTCTTTTAAAAAAAATTCTTTTTCAGCTGGAAATTGCTATGAATTACATTCATGATGGTCTCATGTTAGATGACTGCATTGACACCCTCGAGAGATGTGTTTCCATTTACACACACTGGTTGACCAAGTTGAAAGCATCTAACTTTAGATACAACGACAAGGCCTCTCTATCAACGTCTTATCATGGCTTACCAGAGTGGTTCTTTGAACACACTGAATCTATATTTAAAGCTATGCTAGGGGTGAGTTTTCATGGTTAAGTGTCTGACACAATTTAGAGACAATTTTGGTTTTAAAATTGTGTTACAAAATACTGACTTTTCAATCATATATAATGTTTTGGACACGAAGGGAAACACACATCGTAAGGCTTTTCAATCAGTGCGTGAAGTTTAATGTCCTACTATTGAACCTATTCTTTCTGCAGGATTTGGGGTTGTTGTTCAACATCTACCCTCATACTGCCCATGCAGAAACTAGGCATGGAGACAGAATCATCATACTTTTCAAGAGCATATTTGACACAATCGCTTTAGTTGGAGACATCCCCAAAGATGCTGGAGACGCATTAGTAAATATCATTTTAATTATATATTTTGCCTCAAAACTTTCCTTACAATCCAAAATTCTTATGCTAACTTTTTTTCGTATTTTCAATGATTGTCATTGAACAACATCGAACTGTTATGTGGACAAATTAAACTAAATTTTGATCGAAATATAATATTTTCATGCTAAGTTTCGCTTGAATGTAATAAACTTTAAAATTTATAAAACGAAACATGCTAGATAAAATGAAATGTTGAATTAATGAACAATTTTAACGTTTACAGAAAAGTGGTGAATCTATTGGAGATGATATCAATAGCAACTTGTGCAGGAAAAGTTTCCCTTGGCTATGGAGTAATATTCTGAAGGTATGTCATACAAAGATACAATATGTAAAATTTAACAAAATTTCTAGATCATTCATCGGAATCTACATTTTTGCTCGTAGATATTTTAAATCTTGTCAATTGCTCAACTAATTGAATGATATTTCTATTTTTACTCAACAAATGAACATTTCGTAGATGCTGTTGTACATAGTGGACCGATGGTTTTACACAGACGTACATCCAAACAGTGTTCCCAAAGTTGCTGAACAAGCAATTAAGCTGCTAATCAACGCTTTCATTGTTGCATCCCACGAGTAAGTAAGAGAAATAAAGAAGAACTTTTAACATTAAAATAAAGATTATGTCCTTTGTGGTTACTCAATTAGCTTCCTTCAAAATAACAAATTTAATTTTGTACAAGGTTTAAAATCTGATGTAAAAAGTTTTTACTGTTTAGGAGTTTTCCAGAGGTTGAGTTGTGGCAGGAGTTTGAGCTGCTTTGCAAAGGAATCATTCACATCGAGACGGTCTGCCGCGAGTGGAAAGTACATAATACATCTTTTCAGATTATATTCCGAATTAAATGACATAATATTGTAATATGTTACAACGGAGTCTCTTTAGAGATTCCGTCTCTAAAGAACATGTTCACAAACACCAGTATAAGCAATTCAATGTTGATTAGGTGTGGCCCCCAAAAATCGAATTTTAGAATTTTGGTGATGGAATCCTCGAACAAGTAGGTACAGTATACCATCTGCAAAGCAACAACTCTCAAATATAAAACACGGCGGTGGTATAAGACCCAACGTATGGGTACTGACTTTTGGCCCACCCTGTATTATCTAGACTATTAATCTAGACTATTAATCTAGACTATTAATCTAGACTATTAATCTAGACTAACTGTTATATAAGGCTAATGTAGTGGTTTCTTTCTATATGCTAATCTCAGCCAGAGTGTAAACTGATTGCAACTACACAGGCAATATGTGAGACCCTGACAGTCCACCACCTAAAGAGAATGTACGGCAGCCAACATTGTGGTTCAGAAGCCAGGAACACTTACATGATGCACGAGCACATGAAGTTGCCTTCTGTTAGTATGAAATAGACTTTTAGAGACCGGGAAATGGAAATATATTCACTCAATAATAACTCAGTTTTATCAGTGCCTTGTTTGTTGCAGATTCTTGTAGATTGCTATTTGTAGTTGCCATGGTAAATATCGTTATGACATTCCATTGCAACCGTCTCTAACCCCTCACAGATATTTGTTCAGATAATCTCCATGATGGAATATGAGAATCTCCTGCAATGTTGGGCACGATTTATCGTGCTGTTAGGTAACCCAGCAGAGTTGATGAACACCAACTCTCCAGTAAGGTGGTACCGAGTTGAGAGCAGCTGTAATAGCGCTGGTAAATACAAGAATAAAAACGTTATTGAAAAGAGAGAATTCTTGTGAGTCGGTCTGTTCTTTATCGGCCTGTTAACTTATTTATAAGTAGTTTATAAACTTATATAACTACTTCTATTCTTAAATAAATCGCTTTCAATAATTTCAAACATGATTTTACCTGAAATTTGTTACGATGATAAGATATATCTGACGATGTATTGCTAGATCAACTTTATCCTCAACTTTTAACGTATTATCTACCTCGCCCCTATTAACAACGTACTTCTACCCCAGGGTTGAGCAAGCCCGGCCTGCCTACCCAGCAGTCTGTCTGAAGATGATACAAGGAATAAGCTGCATGGTAAACACCATGCTCAAAGTAGGACTCCCCCACAACACTGAATACGACGGAGACAGACCAGAAAGTCCGGACAAACTTGCCGCATCACAAGCTCTCATGTTCAACAAAAGGCCTATATACGAGCAATACGCCTCCCCCGCGCACAGCGCACCTTCTAAACTAAACACCAGACAACACCGGGACGTTCCCCTGGACAGTAAACTCATACCCACTGGTAATAGTGTGCTGCGTCTGTTTGGAGAGTGGCTGTTTGACTGTACCGCTATTATTGGGACTATTGATCACAATCACCAGTTCTATGGAGCTAGCGCTGAGGCGTTGGGTACACTGTGCTACATCTTCTCTCATAATCGGAATAATGATCCCTTTGAAGAGACGTACATGATAAGGTTCGTTATTTTATTATTATACTTCTTAGTACGCCAACTGTAAGAGTATTGTAACTGATTACCCCAGTAACATTCATAACGAATGAATTGGTAGAATGGACTAATGAAGATAGTTTCATTCGTTTTGTAGTAGTTGTGAGACATTTCCTGACATTTATGTAGCTGAAAATATAGCTGATAATATAGCTGACAATATAGCTGATAATGTAGCTGATAATGTAGCTGATAATATAGCTGATAATGTAGCTGATAATGTAGCTGACAATATAGCTGACAATGTAGCTGACAATATAGCTGATAATGTAGCTGATAATGTAGCTGATGATGTAGCTGATAATGTAGCTGATAATGTAGCTGATAATGTAGCTGATAATGTAGCTGATAATGTAGCTGACAATGTAGCTGATAATGTAGCTAATAATGTAGCTGATAATGTAGCTGACAATGTAGCTGATAATGTAGCTGATAATGTAGCTGATAATGTAGCTGATAATGTAGCTGATAATGTAGCTGATAATGTAGCTGATAATGTAGCTGATAATGTAGCTGATAATGTAGCTGATAATGTAGCTGATAATATAGCTGATAATGTAGCTGAAAATATAGCTGACAATGTAGCTGACAATATAGCTGACAATGTAGCTGATAATGTAGCTGATAATATAGCTGATAATGTAGCTGATAATGTAGCTGATAATGTAGCTGATAATGTAGCTGACAATGTAGCTGATAATGTAGCTAATAATGTAGCTGATAATGTAGCTGACAATGTAGCTGATAATGTAGCTGATGATGTAGCTGATAATGTAGCTGATAATATAGCTGATAATGTAGCTGATAATATAGCTGATAATATAGCTGATAATGTAGCTGATAATATAGCTGACAATGTAACTGATAATGTAGCTGATAATGTAGCTGACAATGTAGCTGACAATGTAGCTGATAATGTAGCTGACAATATAGCTGATAATATAGCTGACAATGTAGCTGACAATGTAACTGATAATATAGCTGACAATAAGCTGATAATATAGCTGACAATGTAGCTGACAATGTAACTGATAATATAGCTGACAATATATAATATAGCTGACAATGTAGCTGACAATGTAACTGATAATATAGCTGACAATATAGCTGACAATATAGCTGACAATATAGCTGACAATATAGCTGACAATGTAGCTGATAATGTAGCTGACAATGTAGCTGACAATATAGCTGATAGTGTAACTGATAATATAGCTGACAGTGTAACTGATAATCCTCAGGTTCGTTATCAGACTGATGCAGGGACTGAAGTGCGGGAAGAGGCAGCTCGAGAGAGATAAACACGTTAAAGATAAAACTAATGATATTCTTGTTAAGATACTACAGCAGTCTGGGTCACTTTTTAAAGTGGATCTCCCTGGAATCAACGCTCTCGTGTCCAGTTACATCAGGTAAATTAATATATTATAATATATAATACTATAATAGTAATTAATATATTATAATAATATAGTCTGTGATTATAATTTATAAGTTAAAAATTACGTATACAATATGTTAAAGCGTAATCGAAATCAAAATTCTCAGTAATAATAATATAAGCTGTCGATATTTAACCGCTGGCAACTAAAAACTTTAATAATTATTCATTAATAACCTACTTTCTAAACTAACCACATATCTATTACTCCAGTATGATAGAACTAGTGCTGGGTAACCACGTGAACGATTTCTCAGCTAAGGAGCTAAGAAGGGATGCTATAGAGATCTTACTGTCTATAATCTGTTTACCTTTACGTTATCCAACTATCACACTAGAGGACCTAGAAGGTACTGTTTATTCTATCTAAGATAACTACATATTTATTGTAAAAATACAGGAACGATATTGTATTCAAACTGTGGAAAAATTCACTTTAAAGATTTTTATTGATCACTGGTTAAAAATTCAAGCATAACTGCGAAATTTCGGTCGAGGAAACGGCAGAAACGCTCCTCTTCAAAAAAATCTCTTTTTATATTCTGATGATTTTCCGTTTATCAAAGCTTTCTTTGGGAATAGAATTTTCAGTACCTCGATCGTGTCTTCTGTCATCCTCAGTGACCTTGTAAGATGATCATTCAAGAAAAATTGAGTCGAAACAGTGAAATTTGGGTCTAGTGGAAAGCTGAAATTCGAATATATCCTACCGGTAGGACATATTCAAAATATTCATTGCATCAAAGTTTCCTCCGGATGGACTACTTGAGGGACGAGTGGAGGAGGATGGACTACTTGAGGGACGAGTGGAGGAGGATGGACTACTTGAGGGACGAGTGGAGGAGGATGGACTACTTGAGGGACGAGTGGAGGAGGATGGACTACTTGAGGGACGAGTGGAGGAGGATGTACTACTTGAGGGACGAGTGGAGGAGGATGGACTACTTGAGGGACGAGTGGAGGAGGATGGACTACTTGAGGGACGAGTGGAGGAGGATGGACTACTTGAGGGACCAGTGGAGGAGGATGGACTACTTGAGGGACGAGTGGAGGAGGATGTACTACTTGAGGGACGAGTGGAGGAGGATGGACTACTTGAGGGACGAGTGGAGGAGGATGGACTACTTGAGGGACGAGTGGAGGAGGATGGACTACTTGAGGGACGAGTGGAGGAGGATGGACTACTTGAGGGACCAGTGGAGGAGGATGGACTACTTGAGGGACGAGTGGAGGAGGATGTACTACTTGAGGGACGAGTGGAGGCGGATGGACTACTTGAGGGACGAGTGGAGGAGGATGGACTACTTGAGGGACGAGTGGAGGAGGATGGACTACTTGAGGGACGAGTGGAGGAGGATGGACTACTTGAGGGACGAGTGGAGGAGGATGGACTACTTGAGGGACGAGTGGAGGAGGATGGACTACTTGAGGGACGAGTGGAGGAGGATGGACTACTTGAGGAAGGAGTGGAGGAGGATTTCAATAACAGTGGTTAGGTTGGGTAATATAAACTGCAATTCTTCTTCAAGAGATGAGCAACTAGGTTAACTTTGAAACCAATGTCTTATTTAAACGGAGTTGATCCGGATCAGAGGCATCAAAATACACAGAACAGATAACGAAGTCTTGTGTTTCCGCTACTTATTGATTTTATGCGATTTTTGATGTTTTGATTTAGGGTCAACAAAAGTAAAGATCATTTATTTTAGATTAATAGTTAATAGTTAATAGATTACAGTTAGGGTAGTTAAAATACAGTTACATGCATTGATTAATTAACAAAAAATTAAATGTGGACTTTTCACTAAATAACACAGTAACTCGTGGAAACCACTGCACCGTAATATTCACCCTGGCCCTTCCTTTACGTGAAATTCAATAACAGGCCCTCCAAAGCAAAACACCGGCATTCCTAAGTTGAACTTTTACAAACACCATTTAAAAAATAAGTGACATTGTACTAGATAACAATCATTTCAATGCATCAGGTAATTGTAAGTTTTTAAGTCGTTAATATCAAACTTGAGTGGTAGTATTAGGCAAGCACACCGTATTAACTACCAAGCAGTTTGACGTAACAAAATTACTATTACGTTTTCTAACACCAAATCCCCAAATATTCGCATTCGTAACATATTTCCGTGTCACAGGATGAGTCAAGACGTATATTATAGGATTAACGATACCATTAATATAATAAACAGTAACAGTCAGTATTTGTGACACTTCGTAACTCAGAGGGACATCCCACGTGTTAGCAATCACTGAAGGGGAGTAGGCCAGCAAGCTGGTTGCTATGATACCAGTAGAAGTCATCAGGAACCATCCACACCGTCTTCTCTTCCGGGCGATGATGAAGAGCATGATGCCATACATGAGGAGGATCAGGAGGAAGGGAACGAAGATGAGACAGACTTGCTCGATGTAGTTATTTCGTCCTGATATCACACATCTGTGGTATTTGTCGTAGTACTCTATTGTTATGGAACCAGTGGTATAAGCCACTGTGTCGTAAAATAGTAGAGCAAAAATAGGTGACCAATTTACCACAAACATGACCGCACTGGTCCTCTTGGTCACAAGTGAATTATGTCGGAGTGGCAGTGTTATAGCTATAACTCTGTCCACAGTGAGGGGAAGCAGCGCTGGCATACCAGAACTTGCAAACGAGTTGAGGAAGATAGTGTACGCCGCGCAGTAGGGAGTGGTGCTGTGATCAGGTGACCCCACAAACTTGCTGTTTATAATACCAAGACCTCTGAAAAGTCCTACGATAGACAACATGACGTCACTGACTGCTACGTTTATGATGAAGAGGTTCTGGCACAGGCGGATTCTCCGGGGGTGGAGGAAGTAGATGACGGAGCTGCTGAAGATGATGCCGAGGAGTCCTATAACTGCTAGTATCGAGCCCTGAGAATAGGGAATAGGTAAATGCGTAGTGAATATTATAATGTGAGGAATTAGGTTCCTCTGCCTGGAATCAGTTTATCATAATATTAATAAATATAACTTCCGCGTTGATTACAGTCAAATGCACAAGAAACGTACATGCCATAGAAATTCTTTAAAACTAAAAAAGTGGCCTAAATAATACTTACATTAACAAGTCTGAAGAGACAAACAGGTTGACTTTGAGTTACACATGTGTGGTTCTCAATGAGGTACCCCATGATTTATTCTTTGTTCATGATAAACTTGCAAAGTGTTAGTTGAAAAATACTACAGAATGAATCAATGAATTTAAAAAGTACTTTGAACAGTTTAAAGTTAAACAGTAGGCATTGTTCAGAGGAACACAACAAACTACGAATGCACCTTTAAAGCTCACGTAAGAGAATAAACAGACAGCTTTTAACGTGAGATTGTAAATGAAACTGATATCTCAGAATACGATAAGTAAAATTTAAACAAATGGTGCCATAAACTGTTTATATTAAGGCTGAAGAGCCGCTAAAAACGAACAATTAAGTCACCTTGAGGTCTGGTAACGCACGGATTAACTGACCCCCCCCCCCCCCCCCCCGGGCCAGGTGCAGGTGGATGTCAAGGGCTAACATTATTATGCAAAAACCACAGTTTTAAATACCGTTATGTTGTCAGAACCCAGACGCTTTCAAGGGTATAAGGTGTTTAGTTGAGCTCCTAATCGCCAGAAATGAAAACTCAGCTGAGAAATTAGCTGCACCCAATTTATCATTTAAGCACAGAATACCAAAGTTAATATCTAACCAGTGACAGCATTCACCAATTATCACCTTTCAAGTCATATTGTGCATTATTACAAATTATTCATTAATCAATTATTCATTTTACTGTAACTTAATGGTAAAATGAAATTACGTCACTACGTAACAAACTCAGCTCCTTCTTCGCTTTTATTTAAATCGGCCTTTTGATCGTCTAGCTATTAATGGAATGCCTTATGTATGATTTGCGCCGTATCAACAAGATAATCAACAAACTGTAACAATTATTATTAGCTGCTAACACTGTCCTGGGTAAACTGTTTCGTAATTAAGGAGACAATTATTGTTGCTCATCAACTATAATTGTATTAAATCAAAAAGCGTTCAGTGAAATATCCTGCTTTAAGCGTAGTGAGCAATAATTTCATTGCGCAGAGTGCCATTGCATGAAGATGGTGCAATGGTGCCCAAGGCTCGACCGGAATCCAGGCTTAATGCTGTCCCGGTCAAAATCAGCCTTTATTTGGAATCCCGGTCCCGGCAATAATTCACCAATAAATAATGAGGCGGATTATCTAGTGCACTTCCTAATGTAATCATTGTGTAAAATATCAAATATGGTCAAGTTTTGTAAAGACTGTTATTTTATATCCTTTTTTCAGTCACGTGACTCACACCAAACAGTCACGTGACTCACACCAAACAGTCACGTGACTCACACCAAACAGTCACGTGACTCACCAAACAGTCACGTAACTCACACCAAATAGTCACGTGACTCACACCAAATAGTCACGTGGCTCACACCAAACAGTCACGTGACTCACCAAACAGTCACGTGACTCACACCAAATAGTCACGTGACTCACACCAAACAGTCACGTGACTCACCAAACAGTCACGTGACTCACACCAAATAGTCACGTGACTCACCAAACAGTCACGTGACTCACACTAGCTAACAGCCAATCAAATAGTTGCCAGCTGGGATCAGGGGATCATTCTCAGGACTGAGAATTGTGAAATTTGAATAATTATCACAAGGTGGATCTACTTAACAAAAAAATTAGAAAGGTTTTTCTTACGGGTATATGGCCCCCAGAATATAGGTCGTTTTTTGAGCACTTAGAAACAGGTGTTAAAACTACTTCTAAGCATGTTTAGGGCTGTAAATATGTACATAATAACCCTTTAAATGTTTCTTGGGTAGTTGAAAATAATTATTAGGTTTTTAAGTGTACTTTTTTTTCACCTGTAAAAATACCATTTTTTAACAGGGCCCCCAGAATATAGGTCCAAACATCTGTTCCTAAGTTGTTCTAAAATTGTCACAGACAGTTATATGCAGTCAGAATATGTTGCTGAGACTGTATTGATGATGCCAATGGCTCCAGATACTAAATTGAAATGGTTTAGAGTATACTTAATAGCAAAAAATCAAAAACTACGGCCCCCAGAATATAGGTATGCAAAAATCGTCCTCAAATACTCCACCTTCATACATTTTGATGATGCCATCTCTTCAGCATATGTTCTTTAACTGTTTCTCATCACTACCCCACATTCCTTAATGCTCAGGGTGACAGAGAAAATGCAGAATCTTGGTCGCTATTTTTTTTTTAAAACCTATATTCTGGGGGCCATATACCCGTAATGAGTAA